GCCTTTTGGGTTGTGCCAAGACATGCCTGTGCCTGTGAGTCTCACAGCAAAGGAGCCCTCTTAATGCCCAGAGCCTTCCAGCTATCGCAGAAGCCACTACAGCATGGTATCACAGCCAGGATCTCATTTATTCACTTTGCTTGTCCTCATCATGTCCTTACAACCAGTGAACATACCTACAGCTGTTACAAAAACATTGGGTACAAGCCATGGCTGTAGTGGTTCAGCTGATTCCTGGCCAGATCAGGAAAGGATGTAAATATTCCTTGGGGAGGAAGGAAATAAGAAAGATTAAAAAAAAAAGTTCTTAAGATGACATGTTGAGCAAAATACTGTCTCCATGCAGACTGGCACATGAATGCCTGCTGATCAAGTGTTCAGAGCTACCTCTGAGTTTGTTTCTTGTGGTGACCCATGTCTGCATTCTTCAACACACATCCTGAACTCAAGGAAACCTATGCATTTGAGTTCTGGGAAATAAGAGCCTTTCACATGAAATGAAACAGCTCATGTAGTATTATACTTCTGTCTATGCCCCTGAAAAAGCATAACTTTTCAGACCTTCTTTTAGTTGCATTTTCTTATAGGGAAAAAAAAGAAACCCACAGAAAAGCACAAACCCTAGCAATTTTATTTTCTGCCTGCATAAATGGTCCCTTGATTTCACTGGTTTCTGTCTCTTTTTTAAACCAGTATTTGCCCAGCATTATAGCTAACTTTTCCTGGAGCTCCAGTATATTGCTATTTTCTTTTGTTTTTCCTTGTATCCACTGTGCTACTTAAAATTCTACACCACACTCCCCAAATGTGTCTCGATTTCCCAAACCAAGATACTCACTTGCCTTCTAAAACCAGCCTTTTCCTTTCCTTGGCTCTTTTATTTCCCCACATATTTTCGCACCTCATTCCACCCACTCCTGGGGACAAGCAAGCAGCTTAAAGCTAATGATGTCTCTCAAGCAAGCAGCCTCTCCAAAGGCATTCCAGAATTTTCACATTTGTCTGTGCAGCACGTGTTCCCAGAGACACCCATCTGCAATTCAACATCCTGCAGACCCAAGGATAGGCCTGAAATGAGGCAGCTCAGACTTCTTCACCCCCAAAACACATGCATTGAGGGACACTTAAAAAGACCAGATGGGCAAGTTTTGCAGGAGACAGGATGGACTTTCAGTCTGGCAGATAACTGTATGTCTTCCCTTTGCTACATTTCAGCTTCATCTCGCAACCTGACAGACTGGCATGGAAGAAGAAGTAACAACTGGAGAAGACAAGACAGATCACTGAGAGACTCTGAGGCTGGAGTCACATTTACTGTCCACAGTTTGCAGCCCTGACACAAAATTTCCATCTGTACCATGCACCAAAATAGCACCTTCACCTCCAAGAAAGCATCATTTCCGTGACACCCTTGGGTGACCTAGTTGGTGCAAACAATTTTGATTTTTAGGCAGCAGGGTGCAGCTGGGACAGGGAAGACACCACAGCCCCTTCTCTGCTGTGCTCAGACTGGAGTTCCTTCCAGCTGCTTTTCACAAGTCCCTTGAGAAAACTCCAGATGGAAGAGCATGCAATCATAGATTGGCTGGTGGTGGAAACATTTGCCTGGACATGCTGGAAATTAGGCCTGGCTTGTTCCAGAGCTGGGTACCTGTTGGTACTGGTTCCCAGGCAGCAGGGAACCAGTTGTCTGCTCTTAGTAGAGGCATGGCATTGGGAAGTATCCTAGAAAGAGAGAAGGAACATGAACTCATTTCTCTTTGACTCTAACCAGTCCCCACACTCAGATTTTGGCACTCTGTGAGTTTCCTCCAAAATCTGCTCTTCTTCCTCACCCCACAAACAGTGGAGCCACACCAGAGCTTGTATTCCCTCAGGGAAGTTTGCCATCATCCATGCAGATGGGCAGCTCCACTTCTGGTCCAGGAAAGGTGCTTTTGAAAATGAGGTCTCAGGGTGTTCACCAGGAACACAGCACAGCTGCTTTCCCTCTCCCCCTCCAAAACTATCATTCTAAAAAGGGATGTAGCAGTTTCCATCATGTCTTTGAGCACAAAACAATCTCCTCCTTCTCCCCAGAAAAATTCCATCCAGCACTGATCCAGGGGCCTAGAGCAGCAGCAGCAGCAGCAGGGCAGATGTCACACCTCAGAACTGCAGATTATGCAGCTCCTCTGAGCAATTGTTCACAATTAGCACTGACAAAAAGACCTTTTTCTGAGGCAGTCACTGCATGTCATGGGGCTAACAGTAAAGCAGTCAGCACCTGAGCCTTTGTCTCAGCCCCTTCACATCTTCTGGGGACTCATAAACTCCCCTTGTAGACTACTTATTCCTAAACATGCAGCACCAAGGCTCGGTGCCATGCTCAGCTCCTGAGCTCACCTTGCTGTTGTGACCATCAAAAGAGGTGGTGAAAGGGACAAAGTGGTGGAGCTGGGGAGGAGGGGAAGGAGGAAAGAAGGAAGCAAGGGAGGATGTAGTTGCTGTGCAGAATGGTGACGGGAATCTCATGAAATGGGAACACAGTGTCTGGAGGTGACTTGATAGTGTAAAGGCCTGTGACATTGGCAAAAAAAAGAAATGAGAGCGTAAGAGTGACAGAGAGGAGTGGACAAAATTGTGGCCTTGCACAATCTGGGACAGTGCCCAGGAGCCACAAGAGCAAGAAGCCACTTGGGGGTAAGAGACAGGCAGTCCCAGGGAAGGGTTTGCTTTTGGAGGCTCTGGTCAATTAACAGCCATTGCTTGTCCTCCCCCTGTGCAGAATCTCTAGTCCTTTCAGCCAAAGCAGCCTGCACACAAAGGGCCAGGCCAGGGCTGGCAACCTTTCAACCAATCTTTTTCACTTTCAAAGCTGGACCTAAGTAGGCTGATGTGGAAAACAGGACGTCTTCTCCCAAAGGAGCAAGATCGTACTATGGAGGGTGTCATGATACGC